AAGGAAGTGGAAATGTTAACTACTTGATATTTGTAAAATAACTCATTATCAGTGTATGAGGGATATAATTGTGGTAAAAAGAACTAACGGGAGGAAAGTTTCTTTACTTTTTGGTAGCTTCTACTTCAAAGTACTGTAACCTGTTACAGCAAATGAATTCTGAAATATTTTTTGTTGTTGTTTTCATTGTGGAGCCATTTAGAACTTCTGGCTTCTAAATCTAGATCATGAAAAAAGTCACATTCCAAAGCTGCTACCTGTCCTGTGATCTTCAGAGTAAAAAGCTGTCCAAGCTCTTTTACAAAGTTACAGTTAGAACTTTGCATAATTAATGTCATTTTGAAAACTTGCAGGAAGCATATCATACTAGAATATTGCTACAATATTTAACTATAGCTGTACCCTGTAAAAGTTACTGAAATAAATGCCATAAGAATCGCTGTAAACATTCATATCATATTCATTCTTCAGGTGAAGATACTCTCCTAATACTATGTGTTGCAGGAGTAGTTTTTCATTTAGAAAATCTTCTATCTAAAACCACTTTTTCATATCCTTCTTTTTGTCTGTTTCTTTACAAAGCTGTTTACTGTAAAATCACACGTCTTTCCAGCTTACTTCCTGTATGCACCTAATTGCTTTGGATCAGGAACAGGAACAACTTTTTATTTTTAAATTAATTGCTCTAATTACTGTGTTAAGATATATTTGAGAATGTGGACCTTAGTAGTTAGGGAAATGAGGACGTGTGGTGAAGGAGATTTGAGTAGGGACTAGTAAGAATATGATGATTAAGTAGAAAGTATGCAAAGATAAGCTTTTCTTGAGATTTCAGTAATGACTGTGAACTAGAAAAATGAAGATTAGAGTATTACTGTGGATATCAGATTTCTATTAGCTTCTTGAGACATTAATATTTAGGATAGACGTGAGTGGAAAATGATCTTCAAATAAATTATAAGATATTTAAAGCCTGTACATTTGTATTGGGAAATGACCCAGTCTGGTAATGAAAGAACAGAGTAGGATTTGAATGATTTGACTTTGTTCTCAACAAGGTTTTAATGAACTTAACTGTATTCTGTTTAGACTTTTAAAAGACATGCATGATACAAACATCAGCAAAACAAGGTTTTTATTAGGATTTGGTTAAACCTAGTCTTATTTCTTGCCATAGTTTTGTTTAGTTCGCAACAGCGTATTGTTAATTGAGTTACTTAAAGTGGAATAAACAATACAGTGTTAAGAGTTTTCTTCCTTGCTCAAGGAGATCAATTATTTAAGAAAAAACAAGTACTTACTCCAATATTAGCTTTTCTTTTTGGTTTTGGTGGCAGTTCCAAGAAGTGGTGAGCAGGGTGATCTGTAGACTTACTAGGTCCACAGCTCTGTGGAATGAGCATGTGTGTTTTTTCTTGGTGACTTGATACATCAGGTCTTGTACTCTCTTGCAAATGCATTCTGAATACACTTGTGGAAGTGGTTTTAAACTGTTTAAATTGTTTTTAATGTACTTTTGCAGGATTTTAGTCTAGCCAATGTATGAGAGTCTTGACTTCTAACAGCTTTGTGAAATTATCGAGGCAAGTGATATTTATGAAGGGATATTTACGAAACTATTTGATTAGGTATTTAATGTAAGATTTGATATGATTTAGATGAAGAGACAGTCATAATTGTCATGAGGTTGGCTGTGTTTGTGTTGTCTGGAGGTGAGGAATATACCATACAAGATAAAAATAAAGAAGCAATGCAGCGATACAGAATATTGAATAACAGAACAGCATGCATTTCTGAGTACAAGTGTCTGAAATGTAGCCCTGTGTTCAAGGTGCAGTACTAAATTTATGCTATGGATTTTCCAAGACTGTACTGACCTGTCTGAAGTAAAATACATGCTTGCTGTTAGCAAATGGGTAGCATACTTTAAAAAATGGTCATTGGAAATGGCCCTCATTCTGTTATTTTCTGCATAGAGGCTGAAGTATAAGGAGAGGATGACTAAATGTAATTGATTCTAAGGTCTGTCCTCCTTTATTGGGGATTACTCTTATTTTCAATCGCAATGCACTACAAAATACAGACAACTAAAGACTTTCAGTCCACCTGTCACAAGAATTAAATTTACTACGAAATTCTAAAAGAATCGAAGGTTGGAAAAACTCAAGCATGTTAACAAGGCATTTCTGAAATCCTACCTAGATGAGGGAATAGCAAAAGCTGGTGGAGGAGAAGTACTAATACATGATAAAAATTAGAATTCCATTAGAAAAAAATTGTGAGTATCTTAACTCAATCAGCTCAGTCAGAAACACACAGAAACCCCATGGTAGCAGATGGAAAGGACAAGTCTGCAGGGCACTAGAGAAAGAGAGGAATACCATTTTTCTTTACAACAATGTAAATCTATGGTAACTTCTAGGTGAACAAAATGCACAAAACTTTTGTAGGTTTGCTATGAAGTAAGATAATTTAAATTTGGTGCAGAGTAAGCTTAGAAGATTTTGATAGCATCTTCTAAAAGCTTGCATTTCAAAAAGAAGACAGACCCTCCAGAAAGATGGCTTAGAGGGAGGACAACAAGGTGCAACCAAAGTAAAAATTAGTTGTGTCATGGTAACAGTGTTTTTATAACATGGTATATATTACTGTAAGTCATATGCTGTTTTCAGATATCCAACAATTTTATTGGTCTTGTAGGCAGTGTAAACCTATATTTGATGTATCTGAATCTTCTAGAATGGTTGAATACCTTAAAAATCAGATGTTTAACATACTGGGGATAGTCTGGAAGAGTGTATCATTTCGGACAAAACCAAGAAGGTTTTAAGTATGGATATGTATGAGTGGTGGGTTTGTGAAAAACAAAGGGAGAGGGATTAATCTTCCAAGTCGTATAATAACTTGACTAGAAGGTCAACCTGTGAGGAAGGTGCTAGTTTTGAATTTGAGAAGAATGCGTTAAATGCTTTCCTTGCATTTGGCAGTAATTTTTAAAAGTGTCTTAAAATTTTAGTGTTGTTTGAATTGTTACAGTAATATAACACATTCCTGTGCATCACCTCATTGTTGGAACTGCCTGCAGGAAGACTCCACAGTAAAGTTGTTTTCTGTACAAAATTACTGAGCATTTGCAGTGGCTTAAGAGTGCACATAGCTGGTTACTGCACATCAGCTTATCCGTGATACTTTATTTATATTTCTGTAGATCCATGGGACATATTTTATATGGAAGTCAAAGGAAGAAGCAAGTAGTGTGATTATAGGTAAATGAAAGAAAAGCTTCTGTAATTAAAGTAAGGATGAGCGCTTGAACAAAAATTTCTAGCTATCCAAGTAGAAACCAGCTGAATTTCGGTTGACTTAAAGTAGGAATTGCATAAGTTAGTATATAAGATAAGATAGGATAAGGTAGAAGGAAAAATCAAAGGGGTATTAATCAGATAGAAAGTGGAGACATTGTCATGATGATACTGTAGTAGTCATATTTCTTTGTGACTGTTAGAAGTGCGCAACTTTGGGAAGGTTGCTTTTTAAGCAGTTGTCCTTCATAAGCAGTAAACAAAGAAGGTAGGATACAGTAAAACTTGCAGTGGTTTGAGGAGCTGACTGATGCCTAGTGATTAGTTCTAGGTATTTTTTCCTGGAAGCTGACCGAGCTTGTTCTCTTATGCTTTGCCTGAAGGTAGTTAACTGGGAATGCCTGACTGATTTTAGAGTTTCTACTACCTTAGCCAGAACTGTGACAAGCATTCTGGGTTCAATCCATAGTGCATCAGCATACACAGTGTTTATAATGCAGCTTTTAGAATAAACTCCAAGACTTTCCCAAAAAGACATCATAAAAAACTCCTGTGTGTGGAGTTTGTAAAGGCCAAAGCACTTCTCCTTTTTTGTACTGATCCTATTCTTCAACAATCAGCTTTGCAAGTTTGACCAAAGATGACTTGTACGAATGGGTAAGTTACTGTGTGTAAGGCCTTTTGGCAATAGTGATTTTGATAACCCTTGAAAACCCCCAGAGAGTGAAATTCAGGGCACTGATTTGACTAGATTACTGGTTTCCAAAGAATGGTTTCTGCCATGCCTTGCTGGTGGGACAGAACAGATTGCAGAAGCATGAATGAAGCAGATGTTCAAAAGCATGCTGGACTCATTACTTGAGTTTTGTGCAGTGAGGGCCCTAAAGCAACAAGCAGCGGAGTAGGAGATTTGGGAACTTCCATTAACTTGGAAGCATTTATTCAGTCCTCCTGGATCACATGAAAGTGAAGAATACTTTGTATTTAAAGAGTAATGTGGATTTTTCATTTTTGAGGAAAGGATTCTGTGACCAAAGGCAAGACAAAATCAGTGAAGTTTCTGTTCCAGATATTTCTAACCTTTCTTTCTTGAGGGATGAATCTGCTGTCTTGAACAAAAGGTCAGTGTCTCCCTGTAGGAAAGAGAAGTTTTAGATAAATGGTACTGCTTAAGGATTAGGGGTGCCTTTGAATAAAACCGCTTTAAGTCTCTGAAACCTGTGGTTTGGGGTTTTTTTTTTTAGAAGTGATGATCTTTTACAGTGGAGGAAAGGAAAAAAAATTGCATGCAAAGTTGAAATTATGGAATGTATGGGATACCGTGTAGAGATTCTACATAAAAGCAGATGAAGAACTTTGAAGAAATACCACAGGCTTTGTTTTGCTCAGAAGCTGGTCTTTTCTGCGAATGAAAATATGATAGGAGATATAAGATACTGCTGATCAGCCTGAAAGCTTGAACTGTTCTGATGAATAAATGATTGTATATAATAGTTACCTGTTCTGTTTGACAGTATGAACAACTTACCTGTTTCATTGAATCCTTCTGTCATTCAAAAGGGAGCTGCTTAGTATCTGGAAGAGAAACTTGAGTCCACAAACCGAAAGTAGATCAATACCATATTGGGCAGCTACGACATAACAACCTGCTGTATGAATAGTGTTTCACAGGCCATTTCTTCCTGATTTCTAGGATCGGGCAAGATGTGTATAATTTCATAGGAAACCAGGGAGTAAGATGAATTTGAAAGCAGAATTGTATCAGCTCATTGATAGGTAAGTAAAACTGGACTAGAATATTGCTTTAGATATTTGAGGAAAAGTGTGGCAAGTAAAGTGACTAGAGCTCAAGAGCAGACTTGAATATCTGGCTTAACATGTGGTATTCTAAAAGTTTTTAGATATGTTGCGTGTGGCACTTGCTTTACAAAATAATTTGCCACTCCAGACAGGATAAGCATCCAGCAAGGGCTCTTTGAATTGAAGCCAGGAGGTGGATGGACTCGAGACGAGGAAAGGGAGGGAAAGGATCATATTAGAATGGAAGCTCTGCTTGGCAAGTATTATTCTGGATCCAGGTCATCTGTTGAAAAGCATCTTTCAGCTTGATACACACTTCCCACAATGGGTTGAAAAGGTATATGTATTCAGCACTGAGATTTAATTACAGCATCTAGCTCTCCATATAGAAAAGCATAGGATATGTTCTGAGATCTGTGGATACCGGGAGGATATGGGTACTGGTTCTGCGTGGACCAGTCCAAGTCCAGTGTGGCTCACATGGAATCAAAGCTACGGTGTTGGCTGCTCTGTTGGACTGTTGATGTCTCTGCACTGTGCTTCTCAGCAGTCTTATCTGCTCGGCTGCACTGTGCTGCTTGGCAGTTGTACTTGGTTGGCTCTGCGTGTTCAGGATATGCAGCACCAAACGGATGAACCGTCTCTGAACCGGCGCACAAGGGTGCATCATGCTGACAGAGGACTCACTTGCGATGCAGGAATATTTGGGATTGGTTCATGGAAAAACTGTAATGGTTGTCCACATCATGCTTTTTGTTTCCAGACTGTAGCAGATGGACCCTAGAGCTGGTTTGACAGATTAGGAGCTCAGGTCTGACAGAATTTGACCTTATGCTCTGAATAGTGTAGGAGACATTAGACTGTTTTATGGACTCATGATTGCTGTAGAAGCAGCACTGTGCAAATGTACTCATGCTCTGTATAAATTAAATAAATTCAGCCAGACCCCAAGATGCTTCAGCATTAAGCCAGTTTGCTTGTCTGCATGTTTGATGCACAACTCGGGCACCTGAGAATTTACTGTACTTGTGCTGCATATGTTGATTATTACTATTGTACATAGATTTGTGGGGTTTTTTGTTTATTTCTGTTTTCCAAATGGACCCACTTTGTTGTAATGAGACCAAGTTATTCACCAATTGGTCAAAATTCTTTTTACATAGATTATTGGTGAATACCAGGTGAGGGCAATTAAGGAAGCATGTACTGCTGTGAGATGTCCAAAATGACTTATGAGCAGTAAGGTATTGTACTGAGCTCTGGGAGAGGGAAATGACTTGGGGCAAAAGTTCCAGATATCATTTGGTATAGTGCACTGTGTGTATTCTTGAATAAGTATTTTCATCACTAGGCATGTAAATTGCTATGCTATAAAGCTTTTTTTTTGTTGTTAAACAATGTCAACGGTGAAAACTAGTCCATCCTTCTCAGTATTAAATATTTGCTCCCTTTGAGAGCATCAGCGTTGAATGAGTTTCTGTACACAAAACCTAAATAGACGATTCTCTGTAGCCTCTGTAAATATACCCTCTAAACCAGCAGCTAGATCAAATCCTGTAAGATAAAATGTAGTCTCATCCTGTTACAAGAAAAATACAGTTAAAATGATGACATCTTTGTCATTTAGCATTAATGGGAATTGTAAGGAAGGCAAAAAATGTATCTTTGAATGTTTGCATTGCTGTCTGTTGGCTTTTTAAAAACTAAAAATGTTAGTTTTCCTTATTTTTTAAAGGAGATTATGAAGCAACATTGGAATTAGATAATTAATAAAACCATAATGGATGAGGTTGGAATAGAAATGTAGGTAGAAGTATGGCTGATGTTAACTAGACTTCTAAGATAACACTGGCTGAAAAGGAAAACTAAGTGATAGAGAAGGAGAGGCATAATATTCTGAGCTGTGATGTCTGTGATCTCTTGGAAGCTCTGTAAATCAGTTTGTCGGTACAGCTGCAGTGCTTAGGGCCTAAACCATAAAGTTCACCTCTGTTAGAAAGAATTGATAGCTCTTATCTTTTGTAGTCGTGTATGCCTCTCTTGATTAGTGAAATTATTAGATAAAATTAGATAAAAATGCAAAATTTTGAGGGGCTGACTAAGCAATATCTATTTATTAGTGTTTCTGACTGTAGTTCTGGACTGTTCTGTTGTTAAGTCACTCCCAGTGGTAAAGGAAAAATGCTTCTCATCATAATGAAGAAATTTATAGAGCTTCTTTCTAAACACCAGTTAGCTCAGGTGCTCTTAAATATGCTCAAAAAGCAAATTACAATAAATACATTGATGAAAAAAGGCGGTGTTAACGTTGTCTCTACTCAATCTGTAGCAGCCTACTTTAAGGATTCTTTAGCTAACTGGTTTTGAAAACCAGTAATGTGAAATGTTGTATTTTGGCAAATCATCAAAATCAATTTCCTATTACAGAAATAGTTTTTCTTATATTTATCTTCTTTGAGAGAAAGCCTTCCCTGTATGAATTCTTTCATGCTTGAATGACATGATTCAGCTACCACTAAATCATGGACAATTCTATCAGGTTAAAGCTTCATGAGTGGTAAAGCAGTCTCCTGAAGCCTGCATGGCTTGCACAGTGCTTGGTTGCAGTTCAGTAGCCCCTTTTGAATACCTGAAAAAAAAAATTGAACGCTTGAAAGACACTCTCAGTGTTGAGAGATGTCATTTTTTTCCTCAATTTTTTAATGTAAAAACACTGAATGCCTCATTTAAGAAATCTGGAAGTGACAAAGCAGATAATAAATTTTGGAACATAGACATAACAGAGTTATAGAAACAAAAAGGTGGCTGTTTAATTGGGAGGAATAAAATAACTGGGGGGAATTCCTTGTCGCAGCAAAACCACATAGAACCTCTTGATTCATTTTTAGTGCATCTTCCCAAACATGATTTCTCTGTGTTTTTTTTTTTTTTGTCTTAACTGACTTCTGTTCCTTGTGGCAAAGATCTTTTTTGTCAGTCTCATTTGTTTTATGGTACTAGAAAAAGAAGTTCTAAACCTAGGACTTAGTTCTAAACTTAATTTCCCAGCTGTACTCTTAACAGAAACTATCTAGTTTGCCCTCAGGAACTGAAATTATTGCAAATTGAGAACTGCTAAAATAGTTGGCTAAGAATTTTTTTCCCTCCTTACCCCTTTTTAACAAGTTTCCATGATCATGGTGTCGTCCGCAGCCCTCAGCAATAATTAATTCTGTGTTGAGAAGTTCACTACTGTCTCAACTCCGTAAGTAACGTGTCAGATTATTCTCTCAGGTCACTATGTAATAATGATGGGATTGTCACTTGGCTATCACTAGGAATATTAACTCCCTGTATCCCTATCTCCTGAAGCAATCTTCAGTTCAAGACAGATGATCAGTTATGTTTATATATCACAAGTATTTTCCACCTGAAATTATAAGGTTGTGCATCAGTTACACCTTGGTTCTTCTTGCTTTTTCATAACTACTACGACAAATGCCTGAAACAGTTCTGGGGCAAGTTTTCTTAAAAATGCCCTATGTACTCTGTTAATGCAAACAATTGTAGTCCATTGAGTCATTTCAGTGGTTTTGGACTCTGCTGTGTGTTTTCCAAGGTCCTAGTTGCAATGCTGAAAAGCATGTAGATGCATATTTGCCAGCTGATGCAAGCTGGGTAGCTTTCACTAAATGACCTGGTGCTGATCTTCATCTCTCCATGAGTTAGCGTGGGCTTAGTTCATGAGTGGGTATGTGGTAGTCTAGTTTTCACCTCCAAGTTCTATTGCCCTGACATTTTTAAGAGTCTTTATTTTTACTGTAATTCGTTAAGAACTTGCGGTGAAGACTCATGAAATCTCAGCTGTTTTATATTAACTGCTTTATGGATTAACACTTTATGGAGTCTTTTAACTTGGCTTTCACTCAGTAACATGAACTATGAAACTATAACTTGCTAATGGGAGCTGCCTCGATTTTCTGCTTTTATTTTACTTGTTGCTTCACCTAAGCAAGAAGTGCTGGTAGCATGATCCTGTGGGTTGTAGTATAAATATGCATAAGGGATGATAGCTTCTGTTGCTTTAATAACTGCTTTATATTTTCAGATTATCACAGTGCATGTAATTTGTGCTTTTTCTATTTAAAAAACCCCAACACCACAACCCAACTAACAAAGCCCAAGAGCTTGGCAGGGTAAACATTCTTTTGGAGAAGAAATTTGCATCTTCAAAGTCTCAATAGAATCACAGAACCTTACTTTTTATAAGTCATGACTTGAAATGTCTCAATTCCAAAATGTCAAAATAAATAAGTACCCTTGCATTGGAAGGAGTAAAATGTTTCACTTCACATCAGAATCCTTGTATTCCAATACAAAATAAACCAAAAATGAAGCAATTTCAAAATAGTATTTCAGAAAATGTAAAGATAATAAACTGTGGAAATTCTTTTTCCTGCTGTTCCTTTTCTCACCCTGGTTTTTAGTTTGGATCAAAATTTGGAAATAAGACCTGCGACGTGTGTACTGATGGGACGTGGTCAGAAGTTTCTGTTGCTGGCTTTTAAAGTATATATGTTCTGACAGCTACATCCTACTATTATTAGTGCAGTATATTTTTTCCAGTGAACAACTTGATACAAATGATACACAATGGGATTTGTCATTGCTTTAAATGAATTTGTTCGAGCTGAAAACACTTAAGTTTTACTTTGTAAGGCCAACAGTAGCTTTAGCTCTGATGCCTGAAAGGTCAGCTTTTTCCTTTTTGTGATATGGATTGTACACTTCAGTATTGCAGTACGCTCAAAACGCACCCCTTCATCATTTGAGGAGGCTGAGATTGGGTGGTAAAGTATTCCCTCTGGAAGCTTTATCCTTTGGAGTTCACTCTGTGTAAGTCTCTGGATATGAGAAGAGAAGACATTGCCAAATCTTGTCTCTTAACTCCTTTTAAAAAAAAAAAAAGCAAACCTCATTTGTTGGTAATGCAAGTAAGTGAAATGAAAGGCTGTAATGGGTTTAAATTTCATATGCTATTTTAATGAAGTGTTAGCAGCTAGATAAGTTTTAGCAGTATTTCTTTTTATAGTGATTGTTAATATTAACTGAAGTGTATAGAGTTTGATACTTGTAAAGTCTAAACATTATGTGTGTCTATATATGTGCACACAGGAAACCTCGACCTGTCTCTCAGCTGGTTGCACAACAGGTTCCTCAACAATTCGTGCCCCCTACACAATCAAAGAAAGAGAAAAAAGACAAAGTAGAAAAGGAAAAAAGTGAAAAGGAAACAACAAGCAAAAAGAACAGTCATAAGAAAACAAGGTAAAAAATTTTAGAAACTTTTGTGGTGTTGGTAAAACATAATTTAAAAAAGAAAATAAGAAACTGTTCTGTGATTTTACTGCTTTGTAAGTGCGGTGGCAAACCCTTTCCACAATAAGGCTAAATATTTGTCAAGTTTAATTGGTTTAGGGTGCCTATTAAATGTGAAGAAAGCCTGCAGTTCGTCGTTTTGGCCAGAAGATGGAGACCAGCTGAATATAGAGAGAAGGACTTGGGGGGGTTTTTATTAAGGGTTGCAGATGTATTTCTCACACCACACAAAACTGTAGATAGGCAAATGGATGATGCTAATGTCTGGAGAAGAGAGGGAGACAAGAGTGACTAGTTTCCATGTAAAATGATAGGAGAGAGACAGAGAACCAGTACCAGACTGCAGAAGAGTGGGAAAGTAACATGGTTATTGCTATCCTTGTAGAACTGAAATAAATGCTGAAAGGCTGAACTAGGGTATAAATTAATGTGACAGGATAAGGCATGTATATTACCTAGTGATAAAAATCTCCGTGCTACATCTGGGATGCTGAAGGGAACCTTGGACTGAGAACATGAAATATTACAGTACAGACAAGCAGTTGTAAAAACCTTGATCTTGCTGTAAGACCGGGTGGAAGGAAGGTGCAAACTGCAAAACAAAAGTAGCAAGTTTAACCCCTAAATTGTCAAGTCTAAGCATGAAGTTATTGTAGCAAGAATGCTGTGCCAGGAAGCTCAGAAGTACACAAGATGTAGTCTAATCAAACGTGGGAAGAACTATTGATTTTTTTTTTTTTTTTTTTTCTCTTTTTCCTGGAAGCACTCCAAAGTAGTCCAGCTAAGGAAGATCCTTTGGGATTAGTTATGCAGAGAAGCAGCAGGTGCTTCTCTTGTGCCCAAAATAGGATCATCAGGATCAGAATGAGGGAGAGACTGAGGGTAAAGAGAGAACAGTTGTTAAGAAAGTCACGGTTATGATTAAGGACACTGAGATGTTCCTTCTTTCTCTCTTCCCCCCCCCTCCCCCCCCCTTTTTTTTTTCTTTTTTAATACTCAAATTTACTAGCTTACCTCATGCAGCTGCAGTACTTCAGTTATGAAGTATTTGAAGTTAACATAATGAGTTTTAATTAAGCTAATTAAATATTATGAATTGAAAATACTAATGGTTGAATTGTAGTAGTACATTAAAAATGGAAAAGTGAGGTAGGGAAAAAGGGGGAACATTTAAACAATAACTAAAATAAAAATCTTGGACTGAAATACCAGTATTGAGATTTGCATTAAGAATTGCTAAACTAAGCTACTTGTTTTTTTTTTTTTTAAATGCTTCAAACAGTTAAATTATTTACAGATTTGAGTCACTAGGCAGGATAGCAAGTTAAGAATGCCTGATTAGTTTAAGCAGATTTCTTCGGTGTCCTTTGGGAAAAGGATATCCTTTTCTCTTTGCCTGAAAACTTTTATATTACTGCTGGAAACGATCATGAAAAACTGCATGCACACTCAGTATGATTAATAAGCTCCAGGCATGGCATTTATGCAGGTCGATAATGCTGAATTTTTCTCTCCATTCCCATGTTACAGAGCAGCAGATTGTCAGTTTTCTCTTAAATTCTTCGGTCATGCTGCTTCAGCCTCAGGGGAACAAGATGTCAAAGCCTATCTCTATTCTAGTGGAGGAAAGGCATGAGGTGTTTCAGCTGTAGTGACTGGGAACCAATTCTACTTCAAACAAAGTCAGATGATAATGTAAAGGTTAGGGCTTTGCTGTTAGCACACCTGCTAACATGTGATGTCATATTAATTTATTTTATTGCAGCTTGAGCTAGTGAAAGCTGTAGAGTCATGGACTCAATGCACAAAGCTATGCTGTTCATAACTGACTGTATAAATTCAGCTGCCCGGTGACAGTTTTTCATGGTAGTCAAAGGAAAATAGTAAAATAGAAGTACTTTATGCTTGTCACTAGGAAAAATATGATGGCAGAATATAAGTCAGAGTATTCTTCTCTGGTCTTTATGTTGTGAAAATCAAACAAATGAAAGATTAGATGAAGAGATTTACCCTATCAACACTGTGTGTAATACTCAGCTCTGTGCATAATTTACAGTATACTAGCAGTCCTAGTGAGGTTTTGAAATGAAGTAATACCTGCTGCAAGTTAACACTACCTGTGCTGTTGAATTCAAAAGACAAGACACCAACATCTTCATTACTGAACACCATTCTCTACTTAGAATTGTTGCTTAAGGCTGCTGCAGAGATGGATGCTTCTCTGGATCAAGTTTATAACTTTCTATAGCCACAATAAAGAAAGACTTCATTTTTAAAAGTAAAAATTTTCGCATGTGCAACACATCCATATTTCTGCACAGTTATGTTATTCATAAGGTCAGCTTTTAAATAATCTTAGGAGAAGGTAATGTGTTATGTTCAACTATTTTAATGTAAAACACACTAGGAAACACTCTACCATAAATAGTTGCAGTATGTTGTTTTCCTGTGTATGACGTGTTGCACATAGCAGTCTTATGTACACATGTATGTTCTGCAGAGCTCTTAACAAGTAGGAGGAAGACAAAATAATAAGATGGGGTGTGTGTGCTTTCAATATGATTATTTGCTTTATTTAGGCCAAGATTGAAAAATGTGGATCGAAGTAGCGCTCAGCATTTGGAAGTTACCGTTGGAGATCTGACAGTCATAATTACAGACTTTAAGGAGAAAACTAAGTCACCGCCTGCTTCCAGTGCTGCTTCTGCAGATCAACACAGTCAGAGTGGTTCTAGCTCTGACAACACAGAGAGGGGAATGTCCAGGTCATCTTCGCCCAGAGGAGAAGCGTCATCACTGAATGGGGAATCTCATTAAAGTTTCTTTCCTCCAGTTTCTTTAGTCTCTTCTCTTCAAAACATGCAAATACATAACTTCTGTCACCTGTTACCACATTTTCATGACAGATTATCCATGCACAATTGGTATGTTGACTGGAACATAATTTATGCAGTTTAAAAAAAAAAAAAAGTGCAGTGGTAGAAACAATAATTTAAATGCAATCTACAAATGCTTACAAAGCATTTTCAGACCAACTTTTTAATCTTCATGTATAAAGGTGCCATGAAAATGTGGTTTGAATGTTCATTATGCAGTGTTATTGGTAAGTCCATTTTCACTTTTAGTTTAGTGAATTCTAACACAACTCTTGGAGTCTCTACTATTGGCATGTACTGAATTTAAATTTTTATAACATAGTTCAAGCTGCCTAAATATGTATTATTTGAGAATTGTGAAACATAGTTATATGTATGCAAGTCAGAGATCAACTTAATCAACTATTGCTGCAACAGAATTTTCATAATAATTATCTTCTTAAAAACACCTGCTGGTACTTGGTGTGGTTAAATAGGAAAAATGTTATTAAATGAAACATTTGTATGAATTTTTGCCAATGTTTGACACATTTTACTAGATTACTGTTACTGAATTACGTTGATGGTTTTACCAATATTTTTTCACACTTAAAACACTTATTGTAATGTTTACAAGCAAAAAAGAAAACACATTCTAAGCATTGATTGGTTAACCTTACAATTCAGGTAAAGTACTACATTGTCACTGTACACTGGTATTCTATGTTGTGTAAGAAATATGGAACCTCAGATGACTATGCATTTGGCAAAAACTAACATTTGGAAATACGAAAATTTGGAAAAGCTTTAAAAGTAACAGAAGTGCAGTTCTCATTTCTGCTTAGTGCTGTTTCCTTGCCCCAAATTTATCTAGTGTCATACAGTCACTTAGCATTTCATGACAGGAATATCAGGTGTTGCACAAGAATAAGGAAATAGTAATACTATTAATTTTTTGTTCCTGAATCAATTTCTTTAATTTTGATTTGGCCTATGAGAATATATTATGTCATAAATCAGATGAAAAAACTCAGTACCCTACTTTATGGCATAAACTGTCAACATTTACGCACTTAGCAATATACTGATACAGAGCAGAACTATTTACAATCCCATCTGGTATTATGTAAAATTACCAATAAAATATTTTTGTGAATACAGATCTTGCATTTTTGTTTACAACCAATAAGTGTTTTGACACACACATACAATCCATGTGTAGATTTTAAATTATAGATTCAGATTCAGTACAAAAGTCCATTTAGCTCCTTTTAGTGAGGTAGTCCACTTACACTCCTGTGATTCTTTTCTTTTTCGTTCAAAATAAATATATTTTTAAGCCCATGTAAAAGTTGGATGGACCTTCTCAGTAGTGAATCCAGCCCCAAATTATTACCAACATATGATACGTCTTCTTAACAGCTAAAACAATGGATTTTTGTAGCCCCTGACAATTGTGATGTTTGGTGGTTTCTTGTAGTAATGTATTTTTCTGTTTTTAATGCAGTACTTCTACAGGCACAATGGTACTGTTCTATTTTGTAAGATGCTAGTTGTGAAATACAGTTAGTTGCATAAAATGAAAGTCTGATGTGATATCTGAGAACATACATACCTCATTCCTTGGTGTTGCTGTTTAAACTTTTTAGACATCAAATGTTAATTATAGGCTATTTCAGATGGATAACTACTGACCTGTTTATTATGTATCATGCTTTATCTTACTAAATAGGATGTCTGTTCATTGCCGTTACCTGGCCAAATCTTAGTATCTGTAAACCAATGCATTTTAAGGTTCTTAAATGTTTCTGGGGCTGGGCTGGTGTTCAGAATAACATACACTAGTTTTTAAAAGAAAAATACGTGCTTCTCAACTTTATTTTTTTATATTTTATTTTTAGGTGGGACTATTTGCAGAATATACTGGTGTAATGGATTACAGGAGAGCTGAAACTGTTCAAAGTAAGCAGTTTAATGATAGCAAATCTCATTGCAAGATGTTTTATGAAATGTGTTTCTAATTTAAAATGTAATGAATGCTAACACATTTCAGAATTCCTTGCAAACAAATAATAATCTATTACCAGTAGTTCACTAAATGGGAAACGTATTTTCATTTAACTTTATGTGAATAAACCACCCAGCACTGCCAACAAGAGGTCTCTTTGTATCTTCGGAAATAAGTAGCCATTTGGTTTGGAAGGAAGGGAGGATGGAGTGGATTTTACTGTGATTCAACCGTCTCTAGAGAATAATCTCAAAAATGTGGTACAAGTATAGTTATAATCAAAAAGAATGGAGAAAGGTCTCACTGTTCTTCATGGAATAAGACATAGAAAAGCGATTTTCTAACCACAGTTACAACACAAGTCAGCTAGGATCTAAAAACTGAGCTGTGGTGGTTTTAATTGAACTATTGTGTTGCCAGTGTTTACATTGCAGTGATGCCTATTTTGGCATTAGACAAAGTTAAGGTAATTTTTGCCTGTGTGTGATTAAAGGGATGTGACGATACTGACAGCAGACAAATTCTAAGTAGGCTCTGTTCATAATGTTATAATTTAAATGAACTTCACTTTCATAATTTCAAAATAATTTTGACTTGTAGTAATCCTAAGTCCTTTTTCTAACTGTAAATATATTTAAAAACATCTTTACTCCATTTATAAAAAGTGAAAATTTAATGTTGTAATGTGTTTTGATTAGCTATTTTTCTCTGTGACTGCTCTCTGCATAAGAACTGTTACTTGTTAAATTCTATATATGCACCAGTCTTCAACAGCCATACATCCTGGGTTGTTCATGAAACGGTCACCCAACAAAGACAGTTGTGATAGTGTTCCATGTAAATGAGTTCCTTTATGTGCTGATTGATTCTCCAGTTTCAGAAAGGAAAAAGGGGGAGGAATGATGAAAAATGAAGTTCATGGATAAAGTGTACAATTATTCAGACTCTTATCTTCCTAAATTTGCCACTAATTATAGGCGGTATAAGGAAAAGAGCAAATACACAGTTGTAGACTGTGATCCTTTTTTTTCCTGAAATTAAGTATGTATATTGGAGATAAACACAAGTTGTTCTACTTAGTAGCAGGTTAAATTATGCCATATAAAATCTTGATTCTAATAGAAGTGATAGGAAAAAAAATGAAAATTACATTAAGTAACTTAAAAATTCTTGCTATTAAAAGTCTTGAAATTAAGACTAAGACTGAAGTTTTAACCTGTTACATGTTTCTCTAGATATTTGATGTTTTGTGGCATAGATTGTAAAATCTCAAAATTTTTTTTGATTTTATAATTTGTGCACTTTTTCTAATATTATGGATAGCACATTTTTAGGTAGCCATGTAAGATAGAATACTTTTGATAATTTATTTCTACCAGTTCACTCTAGTGTTCAGGCAGGTCTTTTAAACTTGACACAAGTGTATGGCTCTGCATCTTGGATTCTTTCATTTTTTCTCTTCCTGTCTCAAAAGTCTGACAGTTTCCCACGTTATGCTGATTGATTATACAGGATGGATTTGGCATGGAACTGTCTACTGTGTACTTCTTATCCAGGGTTCTTTAACTGTATCTGCTTGCCTTTATTTGACTCTGCCTCCTGCTAGGGAGTCTGGGTATGCTTCCTTTCAAATATCAGAAACTATATGGAAATAGAAATGCGATTTAATTTAATTTCTCCAAAGGCAGAAGCAAGTGCTATACTTGCAGTAAAATTGGTCTGTGCTTACTCAGAAATAAGATAGGTAAGAGTAAAAGTTAATGCTGGTTTTGGCTATGGTAATTTGCAAATGTGTACTTCTATGGATGTTAAGATTTGGGTTTGCTGGAGCTTTCAAAGATTTTTCTTACCTGAAATTATGCCCCGACTTATGTCAAAGCAGCTTCAGTTTGAAAGGGTGTATCTTCACAAACTAGCAAAAGCTGTACAGTAAAATCAAACTGAGGAAGCTCAGTTGGTTTTCTTTTGTACTTTCTCCTCTTGTTGAGAAAGACTTGTCTAAGACAAAAACCAACTACTAAGTTTAGTTTGACATCTGAAGAACCTGTGTTTTAATAGAAATTAACAAGATTCATCTACTAAATTAAAATCTGAAAAGTACTTCACCAGTTAACTACAAATCAGTGCTTTACAGAAATTATTTTAACTTCCTGTCTAGATGGATACAGATGGAGTAAATGGTGCAACAGCACTGGATAGCTGCATGCTTGCTAGGAAGTGGTATTATCCAACAACAAGTGACGTTAAAGTGACTTTGCTAAGACATTACACAGGAAGATTGTGATATGTCTGTGAACAAGGCCTAGGAGTCCAGGTCGTGTGTCCCCCTGCCCCACCCCCACCTAAACTGTACCATTAGATTCAACCAGAGAAAGAAAATCCCATGAACAAATAAATTAGTTTCAGATCCTAGAGTCTTAGTAATGCAGGAGCTGTTTACAGCGTCTGTTTAACTGCATCAGTGAAAATTAATTAAAGTGAACCACCACTGTATAATACTTAATCCCTCAGGAGATGTTTTTGATCCCCATCTTGTCCCTTTTATGATGGAAAACAGGTAAAAGTAATCTGAAAGAACTTGCTCTTGTCCACTGACACAGGGGATTTTAAGAGGAGACAGTTTAATGTGCACAGGAAGTTTCAGCTGCACTTTTAAGGAGTTAAACATGGAAGATGAAGGGCAAAAGCATATTCCATAGCTCAAATGAGTATTACTGAGAATGATCACAGGAGATTGCTGTACCATTTGGGGTTTGTAAAAGACAAAATGGTAACGCTGTCTAATCACTCCTTGTCCTATATGTTTAAAAAGAAAATTACCACCAGAAAGAATATTGTTCCAGTAACAACAATTCAAAGAATAATTCCAAAATGTTAATTATTTTGTGGAAAGTATGGCATTTCTTGACAGAGATAGGAATATCTGAGCAAGAAGCCCTTTAGGACTACATTTCTAGGATCTCAGCCACCTGGGAAAGTGTAATCTTTAATTACACTGTTCTCTGTGTATAAATATTGATCTCAGTCAAAGTGCTTGCAAAGCGAACAAGGTCCCCTAAACTTTAAGATTTTAAGAAAAGTGGCTTTAGACCAATGGAGCTCTAACTTACAATGGAGTTATTGAGAAGTCAACTGAGGAAAAGAGAGTATTAATCTATTTTTTGATAACCTGCTCATAACTTTCTCCTTCTGTATGAAGAAGCAGAAGTATACAGAAGAAGGAAATATATGTAACCAGGGCTTACAAAATTTGGCTCTTTACCCTTTACTCAAGCTCAGTAGAATCTACAAACTACAAATTCTGTTTGGTTCAAAGGCAGTTGCAGGTACTTTGTCACTAGAAAAGGATGGAGGTGTTCAGTCACTTTGCATCTATTAGTTAAGACCAGGGAGTGGTCAGGCTGATCGTACTTTCTGAATACCCACTTCGGGAATACAGAGATCTAATTTGCTATTTATATGCATCTAATATATAACTGCCATCCATGAACAATCTATTTCAAGCTGATCCTTCTTTGCACAGAATAAATCAAAATGCTTCAATGCCAAGCCCGGTTCCTGATGGCGCAGATCTCTGAGCGAGAAAATCTGCCATCTGACTGATCATCTCTTACTGTAACAGCCTGCAGCTATGAATTAATTTCAGCAAGGGAAATCTCTTCAGAGTACATGTATTTGTTGAGTATCACTACTCCCACCTCTGAAGGAAACACATTCTGATTCCTTCTCTATTTTTTTTTCTGAAGTACATCTATAGCGTAAGTGGATGCAGTGAGTTTGAACTAATTTGTTCTGACTGCTTTTTTAAGTGGGGAATTTGACTGCTATTCCCAGTTCTCCAGCTAGGTTGCTGTAAGACTAACAATGGTGTGTAGAGCTTAGAGGTCATCCGTCAATGTTGTCACCGTTGTCCTTGTTTCTATACAATTGACTTACTGAACAGATTCTTGCTGAGCAAACTTAACTTACACCAGCCCTGTACCATTCAGGCATTCTGGCTGAGGTAGCTGGCGTTCTGGGATGCCAATTACTGGTCTTCATATCTGCATTCCTGCAAATAGTCTGATTCTATTGCTGGGAGGCTTCCATTCCTGCAAATGGTCTGATTCTATTGCTGGGAGGCTTCCAACCACGGAAAAATAAGCAAAATGCTTTCCAACTGATGGAGGCGTAATGTTGCCAAGTAACTTGCAGTACCTGGAGGCTTTTTGAAAGGTGCAAGAAACAGCTCTGGGTGCCAGCTGGAGAAAGAGATCCGAGGAGCATACACAGACACTGAGCACTTTCTCAGCTTTCCTACAGAAATTCTGAGTAGTTTCTGTTTCTAAAATGTCAAACACCTTCAAAACCCCTCAGTCCAACAAAAAGACAGTGGATAAAGGGGGGAAAGAACAAAGAAAATGTCTTTTCAGAATATTATCTAGAAAAGCCACTATATATTGGCTTCTTTGTGTGTTTAGTATTCCTTTCTCTGTGTGTACCGTATTGGCAGTAGGCAGCATCCCACACTTCTTACAGGTGTGGGTCGCTTTATAATTCTTGATACCTGTTGGTTCAGTGACTTTTGGCCTAAAGATAGGTGTAGGTTTTTGTGGATTTCATAGTAAATACCATGAATGTTTCTCTCTTGGGTACGAGTTGTTTATTGAAAGGGTGGTAGTTTCGATTAAAGAGCTAGTCAGGAACAAAAATAGATTCCTCTTGTACATTTAGACGCTACCCAGTTTTAAAGGGTCTGATTCCTGGACTACTAGAAAAAGGGTAACTTTAAGTTGAAAGGGTAATAAAGAGTCCAGACTAGAATGGATGTGGCTTCTGAAAAGAGTTTTGTGGCCAGTAGTTTGTATGGCTGTTTTCAGTGATTATTCCACACCTTAGCTGGTTAATCTTGAAGCGTTGGTAGAGCATCCTCACAGACAAATCAGAACTACCAACAGCACTGTCAGATGCTCTTGAAATTTACTAAGTGCCTTATACAGAGCATCACTGAGGCAATGGTTCAAATGAAAGGAAGTTTGATACAAGATTTACTCCTCTGGATGGAGTCACAGGTTATCAGTTGTAACCAAGATGATGATCCTGGTTATAACACACTAGAATCTTATATTTTATTGCTGATACGAGTACCTAATAAGAAACAGTCCAGAAATTTCTGAGGCTTTCAGTTTGTAAGACATACATTCTTTGGAGATTTTTTTCTTCTAGTCAGTTGCAATAGCCTATTGGAATATCACAGAAGCAAATAAAACTTCTGAGTATTTCTGGCTGCTTTCACACTTCTCAGTTTCTCAGTCAAGGACAGTATTACCTTTCTTGGGAAGGGGTGCATAAGTTGGTTTTATTCATAGGGTTTATGTTTATCCAACAGGAGTTTTTAAGGATTTTATTGTCAGAAAAAGGGCTTGTTATTTTGAAAATAAAAATTTTACCTGCCAGGTGTCTTCCCCAAAATGAGTAAGTGCCTTTTCTGTTCTGACTCTTAGAAGTATTTACTTTGTCGGATTGAATCCAAATGTCCTGGATAAACCAACTATTAAGTACTGAGTGTTACCAATGGCTTGAAATCCTTTCACTGGAAGAGCAAGAGACAATGTAAGCCACTTGAATTATTTTGAGACCTGATGTTATCAGAAGTTTTATAACTGCTATGAGTAGTATACTTCTAAGAACAATGTAACTTTTCAGGAACTTGATATGGAGAGGAAATAAATATTTATTAAAAGAAGTATATTAAATAAATATTTATTTACCAATTTAAGTAAGAGAAAATGTTACACTGTGGGGGCAACAGTCTTGCTGTTAGCAGTCCTGACTACTTAACGGAAAGTAAAAGTGAGGCCCTGAACTCTGGCTGTAAAAGAAAGCACGGTATTTGGTGAGAGGTTGGGACTGTGAATCCTAAGTCCACATTCTAATAAAGTAATTCTTCCTACTTAAGTTTTCACCAATTCTCAAGCAGAAAAGAAAGCATGAGCAGATGTCAGTAAGAGGCCCTCTGGTTTTATTGGTGCTGCTTCCGATCTCTAGAGGATTTTTTTTTAATTTTTTTTTTTAAACTTTGCTCAGGACTGGTACAGCTGAAAGTATATTTTCCCTTCATTCTTAAGCCTAGACTTTGAATGGAGTTTCTCTGAGACACTTTTTGTAGTGAAATCGTATTCCCTACAAACATTGAAGACAAAAATAAACATCTCCATGAACAAAAGTTTGTGTGTGGTTGTATTTTTTTAATATATGCAATTTTGTTACAAAAACCCATAAAGGTACTCTTAAGAAAAGCATAACAGGTGTATTGGCCTACACTTAAAAGGTCTCTTTGTAACAGTCAGAAAATACAGTTTGCATCATCATGAGATGCTACAAATTTTCTGTCTGATAACCGATGTTCAATTCCAGTTAAGCACTTCCTTAAATAAAGATGACAATACATTGCATTTAGCCAAGTGTATGGTAACCCGTTAGTATGCTGCCTTAAACTGACTTCTTTCTGACCTCAATTCAAAGACATTATTAAACAGTTTAAAATTCTGAAAGGTTGGCAGAAAAGCTGAGGAGAAGAGGCTGGAAAGAAGCAGTAGGAAGCCCAGTGCAAAGCTACTTGTTCCAGAATAAATGCCACACAGTTAATGATAATGGAGTTGTTTTAAAATTAACTACTCCATAGTTGTTTTTCATTGTTGCATAAAGTACAGCTGATTTCAGATGAGCGTCAATAGATGTGTTTGAGACACATATAGAAATGACTTCTCCAGGAATAGATTAATACTTCTTGACTGTGAAGAATCTGACAAGAAAGTATTTTTGTTGAAGACTGTTGTTGGTGCAGTGGTGATGCTTAGGGTATGTTACGATAAATAAAATGGTAAATAAGATTATTAAATTGTTCAGAACCATTCTCTGAATGTGTTATTTGTAGTGGCTAGGGAAAAAGTGCAAGAAATAGAAGTGGGCAATTTGTGGATAAACAGCTGACTTGGGGAATTTGATCTCAAAATGCCAAGAGGCCTCTGCTAATTTACTGGCACAGATGATTCATTACCCCTTTGGCTACGATGGAAGTTGAGATACTCCTGAGAGCGCCGCTTCCAAGGCAAGAAACTTGCATGTGTGCAAGTTCCCATGCTTGCAAATTAAAGTAACAACTAAGGTAAGCAGCTTGAGAAGGTGGCTTCGTCTAAGGCTTCATCTCATTGTATATGCAGTTACTCTTTGTTACTAAAGCAAGTTCTAAAAAAAATGGTCTGTGTGGGTTGTCCCAAGTTATCTTCCAGTTACATACAGTTCCAGTGTTCAGTTCTCTCTGAATTTGTTTGTTGTTTGTGTTGCTTTGCAGCGTGAGGCTAAAATCCTACAAGGCATTCTTGAAAGAAACTGGTTCCCTTATAAAGACAAGTCGGAGCTTCCCAGTTGAGTAGCAGGTGACCGAAGTGTTGGCCATGAGTACCTAAACTCATCCTCACTTCAAGGAGGCAATATGCAAGGCTGATACATCCTCAGGTCAGAGGAGGCCACCATGTAAGTGTTGGGTGTAGATCCCGAAGTGCAGGCGGCAAGTGGTAGCAAACTTGACATAACTACCAAGCTTGGCGCTAGCAGAAACACTGACTTGTACAAGACTAAATTGGCATCAGAAATCCAGAATGGGGCCATTGTCACTAATTAAGGGAGTCTAATTTAGTCTACTTACTCATCTATTTTCGAAGAATAGAAGGAATTCAAAAGAGGAGAGCAAGCTGTAAGCCCTTCTATCACACTTCTATTCATCTCTTTCCTCTGTTGACTGTTTGGTAAGTCTGCTACACAATTATGGGTCTGAAGATCAAAACAAATTTCTGAAATTCCACACAAACGTTTTGGCAGCCATGGGAGATCACAGCATTCCACTATGTGCCTGGTGCCTGGAGATAGCTTGGGACAGTGTCCAATTTTATTTTACCCTTTCTTGACCTGAAAGAAAATAAAAGAGTAAAAAAAAAAAATAAAATCTTTCTAAAGTTACAGATAAAGGATGGGTGAAGGAAGGCTGAGGAATGTATGAATGCAATCGTGATCCAGCAGCTCTTGAAGGTATCTTAGATGTTTCAGGCTCCAAGTTCTGTATGATGCAGTACCCCAACCACTGACTCTGCTGCCGCTTGGGCAGTGGAACAGCTTGAGAATGCAATTCCAATGACAAACCAGATCAATCAGTATCACGTCTGCGCGCTCCTGGCAGCGGCGCAGGACTGTGCGAGGTAAGCAGACTGCTCGCCATCATGACTCCTGTGAACTTCCGATGTGACAGACTATTGACCAAGTGTAAGGATACTTGGTACCTAAGCCTGTTACGTACCGGGGGTATTTAGATGTTACGTGGCTGTTCTACTCAGTTTTAAAAAGGGCAGTCAGTACAAAAGCAAGTATTCGTGTCTTACCTCTTCTTCCTGATAATTCAAGCACTAAATGCTCTAAACAGCTTGCATGTTTGACTGCTCCAATCTGGCTATTGAGTTAGGAATTATTTATTTAGGATATGTAAGTTGAACTTTCTTAAGAGGAATGATACAAATATTCTGCCTCTGTACCATTAATAACTTTAAGTGTTCCCAGAGGATCCATTAAATATATTTTGAAGTAAATTGTACTATTGATGAAGAAATAATTGATTCAAATTAGAAGAAAGTAGGAATTTTGCAAAGTATCACACCACTTCCCAAACTGCTTACAATGCAGCTTATTTAATTTTGGGTACTATTGTCCTCTGGTGTCTATATTGCTGATACCAAGAGTAATTGCAAAATATTGTAGGCTCCTGGTTATAGTCTCAATAGGTTAAACGCACACTGCAACGCAAAACAATGAGAGCTGAAAAGGGAAGAAATGGGGGAGGGCAGTGATATTTTGGTCATCAATAAAAATGGATTTTTGAGAATTTTTATTAACATTTTTAACTTCGGGGGCTGATGTGTGAACCTCATGAGGTTCAACAAGGCCAAGTGCAAGGTCATGCACCTGGGTCGGGGTAACCCCCGGTATCAATACAGGCTGGGGGAAGAAAGGATCGAGAGCAGCCCTGCCAAGAGGGTCTTGGGGGTGCTGGTGG